TTTTTCTGATCTTGCATTAAATAGACATGGATTTCATGCATAATTTATGAATGCAAAAATGCCCTTGAAGCTAACTAACTCCAGCCCTTCACATGAGGTTAGGTGTATATATATAGTATACTTTGGGTAAGCAGGAGATTTAAAGACTAAATCTGAGTCATTTTTAAAGCTTATTTAATTTCCCAATCCATTTCAAAGCAATCTGCTTACGCCAACCCAAGTATGTGTCTCAATGAGTTTGCTATATCCTATTCCACTGAGCAACGGTCCTAAAAGTGTCATAAAATTAGAGAAATAGAGTCAATACTATGTTAGTCTGACAGATCTATACTTCATTATCATTACTTTGGAATGAAATTGGCCATCACTCGTTGTTAGATTTTCTCAATTTTGCTTTGTCAATGTGAGCCATGATTGATACTCCTATTAAAATTAGGATTATACTTATTCTCGGTGTGGATGTATCAAGTCTTCAGAAGGCTGCAAACAGTTCTATAATCTAAGGTTAATGCCCTGTTATGCAACTAAATTCCCACGCAGAATCAGATCTGAGAGTTAAATTGCTGCTCGTCACAACATATGGTTAGAAGTATCTCAAAATTAATTGCCCACTCTTAATTGCCTCCAAACAGCAACATATACGGTTCTGGATGACTTGGAAATATTAATGTGGACATTAATACCTCCACCTTTGCATCAATAAAGCACCTTTGACAGAGAAAAATATCTAAGATTTAAGGAAAAACGTACCCATTTTGAGAGCGGTCATAGGTGAATAAGGAAGCTCTTTAAGTAAAAGAATTGGAGAGATTGAAGAACAGAATGCCAGGGAATAACTAAGAAATGCTATCATTAGTGTTGCAGTAAGGATGAGGGGTGAGATTGAGGGTGCATAAAAGAACAGACTCGGAGAATCAGGAAATTTGGGGTGTTGGATAGTAACAGAAATGGGCTGCAACAAACTCAGCATTTAAATGCACAGAAATTTTAATTTTATGGCCTCTGAGTTGATACAAGTTAGTGAGCACAGTGGTGAAGGGAATTTGCTCTGGGACAGGATACAGGCAGAAGAGTTTTGGACAAATTGGAAATTATGGAAGGTGGAAGGACATCCAGTTAGCCATTCCAGTTGTTGAATCTAGAGGTGATGGATTCAGTGACAAATTGGTCAACCTTTGGATAGGAGTGATCAATATTATAGTTCAAAAAACAGAGATTGTGACTGAAAGAATGTGTGACTGGAAACTCAGCTGAGTCAAAGAAAAGCATAGAGGTTTAAATAGTCTGGACACTAGTGGGGAGTGGAGTGCAAAGGTAATAATGGGTCAAGCACAATGACATTAGATTTCCTGATGTTTAGTATTAGCTGAATGAAATTGTTGCTCGTCCAAAACTATATTAGACGAGTAGTCTGACAGCCTAAAGCCAGTGGAGGAGTTGAAAGGCCGTGCATAAGTAGATCTAAACAACATCAATATGCATGGGTGATAGCCTCATCTTGATAAATATTATCATCAAGATGCAGATATGGAGGAAGGGAGCTAAGAATGGATCCTTAGGAATTTCCCTAGATGATGGTCCCGGGGTGGAAAGAAAGAAAAAGATAATGTTCTAATGTGTTTGGATATTTGAGAGTGACTCCACACAAGTACATTTCAACCAAGATAGACAACTAGTAGTGAGCGAGGTCTAGATTCCTAGAAAGGAGGGTTGTGCTAAATTAAAGCTGACATCTTCCATGAATATTATATATATAAATGTCTCTGGCACGAGTCTGGCTGTTTTTGTGAGACTGTATAGATACACCTATTTTAAATTGTCTCAATATAATGTGGACACCATTTCTGCATAACCATGATGACCAGGATTTTCATCAGCCAAAGTAGGTAGTAGGGGCATAGCCTAGCGTGTGGATGATTTTTTTGATTTCACCTCTTAAAAAGTTCCCTCAATCAGCCTGGGGTTGACAACACTCATGAGATACTTGAACTACAACCCATTAAAAAGCTCACCTGACCTCACTCCATGAAAATTGCAGAGCAGTAGAATATGTCTTTCCCCACAATGACACCAGCCGAGTCACAAGTGCAAAGTGCAAGCTTATGACCCAAATGAGCTTACACCCTTAAAATGCCCTGGTGGAAGTCAGAAAGCCCTCGGAGTGGGATGAGAAATCCTGGATTGAGAACACATCCACCATTTTCAATGCCTCACGTGCCATTCCAACAAAAACCCAGACCAATGTGGCCACGTGTGAAGAGGTGATCTGCAGTGTGCTTTGGAGAAATTCAGCCATGCCAATATCAGCATGTGAGCCTCTCAGTACAAGGGTAGCAAGGGATGGGCAATAAATGCTGGTCAGCCACTGACAACTACGTGCCATGAGAGAATAAAAAAAACAATTTGCACAACATGCAAGTCAGGTTCCAAAGATGATAATTTAATAAATATCTTCAATATGAGCAATGTGTGCACAATACAATTTTTGTAAGTAGAATGCAAATGCTGTGTAATAATTAATATTGGCGACTATTTTATGTACATTCACATCCTAGGGCTGTACTTTACAGATATATCTTTATCTCAGATGATGCAAATGTGCCTATATAGTCACAAAATTGGCAATGCATCTTCTCCTGAATATCAGCTCTCCTTTTCCATCATTTACTGTAAGTAAAAGCACGTTATTTGTTCAACAGGTCAGCTTTTGAACGTATGCACAATAAATGTCATTTTTCAATGATATATGTTTCCTTAAAGAGAAGAGAAATGCATCTATTTGTGTCGTCAAATATGCAGAGTCACTTTGATCATGAAATTTGGAAGTCATAACTGCTGATGATATGTGGCTGTCAACGGTAGAAAACTGGCATAATTGGAGAAAGATGCTGGTAAATATCTCCAGTTTAGATTTGAGAGACAATACCCAATACATTTATTGTGATTTATTTGAAACACAAAGGATTACTATATTAATGTTCAGAAAATGCTGACAGGTGATAGAGTTCAAAATATTTGCTTTGTGATTTTTAAACTTTGTTGTGGATTGTTCAACTATTCCCAGCACCAGTTTTATTTAGGAGCACAACTAAATTTCCTTCCCTAAAGCTTGTGCCACCATTCAGTCAGATATCCCCATTAACCACCCTTTGATCTATTTTCCTTAACATTATTAGCTAACACAAATCTCAGTTGTGAAAATTTTAATTCTACCAGCATCAGCAGGCTTTTCATAGAGAATAACCAGGTTTTCACTTTCCTTTGTTTGAAGTGTTTCCTGATTTCATTTATAATTGGCTTAGCACTGATCTGGTCCTGTGTTCTGGATTCCACCTCTAAGTTTATGCAACAAGTCCTCATAATTTAACCCTTTAAGCTCAGATGGTATTCTGCTGTTCTTGCACTGTACCCACTCCAGGCCTAAGATGTGGTGCCCAGAACTGAACAGTACTCTAGACCGGGTCTGACTAAAGTTCTGCACAACTAAACCAAAGTTTAATTCCCTTTGTTTTCCAACTTTCCAGAGAAGAAGACAAACATTTCATTGGTAGTATGTAGGTACAACATATCTAATGATTTCTACACATTGAGCCATGTTTATTCCTCAACAGTCTTTCACCATGAAGATGATGTTCCAATTTGCTTTTGCTGAAGAGTATTCTTAGGCTCCCCCACTCTGACATTGTTTTACCACTACTCAAGTTTGATTTAGCCCCTTTGTTCTGTTCTGCTCTCATCTATTTACTGTCTCTCTTAAAGTAGTTCATCAGCAAACATGAATATGCAAGATCACCGGGGAACACTACTTACCTGCCAAACAAGATGCATTCCTTTCATCTCCAATCCCTGCCTTCTTTCACCAGTTCACCAACTCAGGGCAAAGTTACCTCCAATTGCTGAGTTTTATTTTTGCAAATAGCCTTTATATAGAACTTTATCAAATAACTTATGCAAATCTGCATAAACAATATCAAAGTCCATTTCCTTTCTATCATATTACAGATCTCTTAAAAATTGATCTAATTAAATGTGACTTACCTTTCACCTACTCAATCATTCCAACTCAGATTAGCTCATCCTCACCTTTTTTCTACTGATTATAGTTTCCAGTAACTTTACCAAATTAACACTAACCCAGCAGGTCTGTATTTTCGTGGTTCCTCCCTCATCTTTTTAAACAATAAAATGACATTTGTAATTCTCCAATCCTAAAGCAAAATTCTCAAATCTAGAGAGTTTTAGAAATTATGTCTAATACATTTGTAATATCTACTTCCATTTATTTTAGTACCCTGAATAAGGCTATCAGATCTCAGAGGTTTGTCTCTCAAGTTTCTCAATTATCATTTCTAAAAATTTATATTGAATGCAATAAGTTCCCCTTTATTTATTCTTAGGTCTTCTTGTGCATTTTGTCATGAACATTGAGCATTCTATGTTCAAGCATAGAAATACCAAGCCAATGTGCAGCACAAAGCTTTTCAATTCAACTGTAATTTTATTCTGCTTCAAGGTGACACTTCCTATTTAACTATCCATAACAGCCAATTTTTCATAAAATTTAACGTGTGCTTTTTCTTAAATAAAGAGGTGTATAAAATCATGAGGGGCATGGATAGGGTGAATAGTCAAGGTCTTTTCCCCAGGGTAGAGGAGTCCAAAATTACAGGGTATAGGTTTAAGGTGAGCAGGGAAAGATTTAAAAGGTCCTAAAAGGCAACTTTTTCACGCAGAAAGTGGTACGTGTATGGATCGAACTGCCAGAGGAAGTGGTGGAGGCTGGTACTATTATGACATTTAAAAGGCATCCGGATGGGTATATGAATAGGAAGGATTTAGAGGATATGGGCCAAATGCTGGTAAATGGGACTAGATTTATTTAGGATATCTGGTCGGCATGGACGAATTGGACCGAAGGGTCTGTTTCTGTGCTGTATATCTCCCTGACTATAAAGGATAAATTTGGAAATTCATTACATTGATTTTATAATGCAACTGGTGGAATATTGGTTTATCTGCAGACTATTTTTGAGCTTGTTAAGGGATGGCAGCATATTCGTAATGTTACTAGTAGTCTGAAGGTCTTGACTGATGCAATGGAGCATGAGTTCAAATCCCAGCATTGTGGCTGGGCTTGGGGGTGGGGATTTAAATGTACTTAATTAATAATGCAACCAAAATACAATGGTGGTTCCATTCATAATGATCATGAAGATACTGGACCTTTATTTAAAAAACCATCATTCACTCATGTCTTTCGGGAGACAAAATCTGCTCGCCACTCCTAGTCTGGACCACACGATTCTAGTTGTGTAGAGATGTGGTTAACTCTTAACTGCCCTCTGAAATGGCAATAATAAACCATTGAGGTGTACAAACTGCTATGGGAAACAAACACTCTGGGTGTTATCTATAGTGCACTGACTGCAGGTGCTCATGAGGTGGTTCACCACCAGCTTCTAAAGGGCATTTAGGGATGGGCAATAAATACTAGCCTTGCCAGTGGCGTACACATCCCAAGAACAAAATTATTTTAAAATAATTGTTTAGACATTTGGTGAATCTGTACTCTTAATCCAATGAATCTTTTGGTGAATCATTGTTAAACAGTTTGTAATATGCCCGAGTCCATTCACAAAGTTTTAAAATATTTCACATGTTCTGGATTTTCCAGCACGTTTGCCTTCCTTCCCTTCATCTCCAGCTTCAACTTCTCCATTTGCTGCTGCAGAAAGAAAAAATGAGAGAGAAAGATCTCAGTTCCATTTGTGATCACTTGATAAATAAACTCGTTCTAAAATCATTTGAAGTGCCAACTTCCCCTTCTGCAATATGACTGAAATATAAAGTATGTTATTTCTCGCCCATTCCTATTTGCCCTCAAGAAGCAATGATGAGCTGTCTTCATGAACCTCTGCAGTCCAGGATTTTAAACATACTGACAGTGTGTAATGACAATATAAATATATGTCAGGATGTTGTGTGACTTTCAGAGAAACTTACATGTAGCGGTATCCCATACACCTGGGTAGGAGAGATCATGGATTAAGAATGTGCTGTCCAAGGAGCCTTGGGAGATTGCTAAAATACAACGCACCAGCTGTAGAGGGAGTGAGTGTTTAAAATGGTGGATGAGATACCAATCAAACTGGCTAATTTGCCTTTGCTAGTACTGAGCTTCTTAAATGTTGTTGGATCTGTATCAATGCAGATAATTTGAGACTATTCTGTCACACTCCTGACTTCTGCCTTTTATATGGAAGACAGGCTTTGAGGAGTCAGGATGTAAGTAACTCGTAATCAAAATCTCCATCTCTGGCCTATTTTTGTTATTGCAGTATTTATATGGTTGCGTAAGTTAAATTTCAGGTTAGTGGTTGATGGTGATGGATTCATCAATGGTAATGCTGTCAAAGGGAGATGGTTACATTGTCCCTTGTTACCTGGTACTTGTGTAGTGATAAATTTTAGTACCCCTTATCAGCCTAAGCACGAAGCTTGTCCGGTCTTGCCTCACATGGGCGCACACGCTTCAATATCTGAGAACTGCAGTGGCACTGAACACTCTGCAATCATCAAACACCCCACTTCTGTCTTATTTTGGAGGCAAGACCATTGTTTAGGAAAATGAAGATGGTTGGACCCAGCACATTACCAGAGGACTTCGTATAGCAATGTCCTGGGAGTAAGATTATTGGCCTGTAACAACTACAGATAAACATCAGGGATGATGTCAACAAGCAAACAATTCCCACCCATCGCCTGCCCACCTCCCAGTTGCTATTGACTTCAATTTTACTATTTTCCTTGATGCAGTTAAATGCTGCCGTGATATCAAGAGCAGAGACTCTCAGTCACTCGTTGACACTCAGTTTGGCTTTTGCCAGGACCTGACTTCAGGCATGGACAAAACAGCTTGAACTCCAGAGACATGGTGAGAGTCACTACCCCTAACATCAAGGCAGCTTTCAACCTTGGATGACATCAAGGAACTGGACTCAATGTGAATTGGGGTGGGATTGCACACTTCACTGACTGGAATCAAGGCAATAATGAGGGCAAAGTAGCCCTGCTGGAAGATAAATGCAGTAGTATTAGACAGCCTACAGTCAACGACATTTTCCATCACTTTGTTGATGATCGACCATAGACTGGTGGGGCAGATTGGATTTGATTTGATCCGCTTGTTGTTGACCAGATAATGGACGTATCTGGGCAGTAATTGACATCCTGTGGTAGATTCCAGTCTTACAGATGCACTAAGGGAATGGCTTGTTCTGGAGCACAAGTGTTCAGTAATGTAATACTAGTTGGGATGTTGTCTGGATCCAGTGCATTTAGCCATTTCTTGATACCATGTTGAGTGAATCGAATTAACACTGGTGAGACTGCAGAAGGTCAAAATGGTTATCGCCTCAGCAGTTGAGGTTTAAAAAATGTAACAAACCCATCCACCTTGCCTTTTACACTGGCATGCTGGGATCCTTTATCAATGATGGAGATATGCTTCATGTAATTTCTGCTTAGTTACTTGTTTAATTAGTTAATTGTCTACCACCCTTCACAATGGATGGGGCAGGACTTAATCTGATATGTTCATTGTGGAATTCCTTAGCTCAGTCCATATCATACAAAGGAACAGTATGCAAGAGAGTTCATTGATTTCCTAATTATAACAATAAGTTCCAAGAAATGCCCTGTGAACAACTAAGAAGCAAAGTGGAAATAGAAAGCAGAGTTGTTTAGTTTCCACCTACATTTCAGCTCAGAAAACACAGAAAATTTGAACAAGGGAAAATAAGCAAGCTTTCCCGAATGGACCAGTTTGTTGTTTGGCAGTTTTTTGAATAAGTTCTTGTGTTTCAACAGGTCCCTGCAAATAACACAGAGACAATTGCTGAGTGTTATACATTTTTAAGGTTACAGAACTGAAGACCAGAAGAACATACTGTATTGGATTGAACAAAACCCATTGCTGGTGGTTCAGTGTGGCCATTTAAAAGGGATTGCAGAAAGGAATCTCTGGGAATCCTGTGCCATCAGAATGGATGTGACCAGAGTGAGAGATGGTCCACTGACGTGTGCATTGTTGATGTCAGGGAATTTGGATGGAATATAGCTTTTAATGAATGCAGTTTAAGGGCCATAACTGTTGGGTTAGAAGTGAGAGATCCAACAAAATAGATACCAATTTGAAAGACTGTGAAGCATTTGTGCAGGAAATATTGCAAGTGCTTGTAATGACAATGGCACATTACTTTGTTGCATTGTAGTTCAAGTGCAATTAACTTTATTTTAAATATCAATCACTTGTTAATGGATGTGTGAATCATGATGATTTTAGATAGGTTTAAATGGACTATAACAAGTATTATAATGTTCTAAAACATTAGTTAGGCCACAGATGGAATACTGTATGCAGTTCTGGTGCCACACTATAGGAAGGATGTGATTGCACTGGAGAGGATGTAGAGGAGATTCACCAGGATGTTGCCTGGAATGGAAAATCTCAGTTATGAGAAGAGGCTGGATAGACTGGGTTTGTTTCTCCTGGAGCAGAGGAAGCTGAGGGATGGGGGTGGGATCTGATTGAGTTCTACAAAATTATAAGAGGCATAGACAGAGTAAATGGTGAGAATCTTTTCTCCATGGCAGATGTGTCTAAGACCAGACCGTACAGGTTTTAGGTGAGGAGCAAGTAGTTTAGAGGAGATCGGAGAAAAAACATTTTTTCACCCAGAGCGTGGTGGAAATATGGAATGTGCTTCCTGTGTGGGTGATGGAGGCCAGTACTCTTGCAACATTTAAGCAGCATCTGAATGAGTATCAAAATACTAGGGCATAGCAGGCTACGGACCAAGTGCAGGTAAATGGGATTAGTGTAGTTTGGGGTTCATTGGACGGCATAGACATAGTGGGCCGAAGGGCCTTGCTGTACATCTCTATGACTTTTAAGTCTTAGAATGTGAAAATTGACCACTGGGTTTCTTTCCATAGACATCAGGGAATTCAGTGTCTACAGACCTAATAAGACTTATCAAAACAATAATAATGTGCATACAACTCTTCTGATTTATGGCCACACCAGCCAGTTACCCACCCCACCCCCAATCAATTCGAAGCACTCCATCACTTTCCTGGCACAGTACCCAAGTGACACCCTACTCACCTGTCATTCTACTTCACTTTGACCCCAGTTAAGCTGCCACCCTAACTCCACACTTAATCTTTCACAGCCATTGTCAAAGTATCTAGCTGTGCTGATGGACTTTTAAATATCAGAATGCAGCAGACTGACTGCTGTAAGAGAGGTGCAGTTAGATTTCCCCTGACAACCCCACACGGCAGGAGAAGAGTTAACTTCAGGGACCCAGCACAATTCTGAAGGTGCTAGGATTGGAATTCCTGGCTAGAAAGACGAAGCTGAGTACTAAAAAAAACTGAGTAGAGGTCCAGTCAACAGTGACTGCCACTCCACAGAATATCTGGGCCATTAGCTCAGTAACTTGACCTTCTTAGTTCATTTACTCTTTGCATTTCCAAGTTACAGCTTGATATGAGACTACAGTAAATTTAAAACGTAGCTACAAATCCCAAAGTATGTCCTCATTTTCATCATTGCTAGACTGATGGTTTCCTTTACACTTTTTGAACAAAATAGCAATATGCCAATTCCATTAAAAACTAATCATGAGTGCACTCATGAACACAAGTCTTATTGGGACTCAATGGGCTTAAAAGAATGGTAAATTAAAGATTTACCTAAGATTTAAAGCCTAACCTTTCTTCACTGCCATTTCTTCTTCTTCCTTCCTTTGTTCTTCAATCAGCTTCATCTTTGCATCATATTCATCAGCTCGTAATTTCCATTCAACTCTATTGTTCTGGAGCCCCTCATACATCGGCGTTATTTCTTTATGGAATCTTGAAAATTCCTGTAAAAGGCAATGAGCCACTAAATAATCAGTTCAATGATCATGTAATGTATTAAAGTTTTAATAAAAAAATATATTTTATCGTGGTAGGGCTCTTGTGGCACAATGGTAATGTCTCTACCCCTTAGTCAAGAGACTCAGGTCAAGTCCCAGCTGCTCCAGAGGTGTGTCAGAACATGTTCGATCGAACACGTTAATTCAAACAATTAAGTTGTAATATAAATAAAATGTGGTGTAAACAAAGACCGAGTACTAAATAGTCCAATATAAAAAGTGATCAGGAATGAAAGGTAGGGGAAGAAAGGATGAAAGGTGACAGTTTTGATTAAGGAGAATATTTTAGTGCTGGAGAAAGTGGATGTCCTAGACCAATCAAAAATAGGATCCATTTGGGTGGTTTTATGCAGCAGAAGAGGTAACGTTGCATATGATGTGCAGCCTATCATCTCTTGGGGAAGCTGTCGAGCACATTTTCAGGGAAATTACAAAGATTGTGTGAAAGTTACAAAGAGGTGATGATGTGAGATTTTAATTATCTTAATATGGACTGTAATAGTAATAGTATAAATGGAAGAATTTTTGAATTGTTCAGGAGAATTTTCTTGATCGGTGCAATTCTAGTCCAGTGACAAAGAAGGCCCAGTTGGATCCATTTCTGAGGAATGGGTTGACTCAAATGGATTAAGTATCAGTGGAAGAATATTTAGGAGAGAGTGAATATTTTATAATAAGGCTCTGGTTGGTTTTGGAAAAGGACAAGGAGTAACCTAGAGTGAGAGAATTTATTTTGAGGAGGGTAATTTCAGTGAGTGGGAAATAAATCTAGCCTAGGCACATTGGAAAAAAGACTGACTGACAGAACTGCAAGGAAACAATGGGCTGCCTTTGGAGGGGTTATGGTTTGGGTACTGTGGAAGCATATGCCCACAAGAGAGAATTTTCAGTAGACCAGATAGGGTGGCACTAGGAACACGGTTTATCTTGATATATTTTAATAACTTAGACGTCAGTGAATAGGACATAATTTCAAACTTTACAGATGAGACAAAACTTGGAAATATGTGAACTATGAGGAGGATAGTGATAAAATTCAAAAGTCTGGTGAAATGGATGGACATTTCTGATGAACTTTCATGCAGAGAAGTATGGAGTGGTCCATTTTGAAAGGCAGAATAAAAGTGGGATAATAAAAAAATAAAATATTGTAAATATACAATTCTAAAGAGGGTGCATATGAGATATTTTTGCTTTATAAGTAGAAGCAAAGAGTAGATTACTTAATTATATTATGATGTATTTCTAAATGCTCTTCTGTGTTTATTTCTAATGGACTCTAACAGTTACATGTTTTATTGTCTTCCTCCCTTTTTGAATAAGCATGTTAACATTGACAGTTTTCTAGTCCTCTGGGAATTTTCCGGAAACTAGGGATTCTGAGAAGATTACTACCAGTGCATCCGCTATCTCTGTAGCTACTTCCTTCAATATCCAGAGATACAACCATCAGATCTAGGGCACCTATTCCCCTTTGACCCAATTTGCTGTGGTTTTGATGTTGTACACGCTGTCCCACTTTGGGTATCGTTACCTAAATACCTGCCCTGCCATGCTGCCTTATCATTTAGCTTTCCTTGGTAAGCCTATTCATCCCTTATCCAGAACCCTGCATATGGACCAGATATCCCAGTGACTGGCAGACTGTATCAAACAACAGTTTGTCCCATTGTCCACTCACAGAAGGCAGCATGCGTATTATACTCCATCGGCCCGTGTTTTCAAGCCCCAGAACTGTCCACTATTACTCTAATATTCTACAATTGGAATTCATAAAAAAATTGGCAGTGTGTCAAGAATAATACTGGAAACCAATTTATGATCATCAGTCAGACTCACTGTGTGATGCGTTTGTGCATGCTAGAAGCTATCTATATTAATACTCAAGACCCTATTTTCCATCAGCAAAAGAAATCGGTACATACATTGGACCTTTCTAATGGAAAAATAAAGGGATCATGGAGACTGCCAATGTCTGCTGCAATCCCACAGCTCAGAATAGGTGGTAAGAATGATTGGTCAAAGAACTAGGATTAACTGTTTTTGTTGCATTTTCATGTGAACCATTGCCCAACCACTCAACACCCTGCTCCTATCCTGTACGGGTTGGTGTGCCTTTATTTAAGTCAGTTTCTAATGTCCTAGTTCTGATGAATGCAAGGTGAAATGCTTTGACTTTTCATTTCCTTTTAGCAATTTCTAGTTGGTCTCAAGAGCTGGCATAAGTACAATGGGTCAAGTTGCCTCTTTCTGTCTGTCACCATTTTATGATTCTAATTCAGACCAGACAGAGAATGAAACAGCCTTTGTACTTACTTTGTACACAAAGGTACACACAAAGTCGATGAAACCAACTTGTAGCTTTGGGAGTTCATCTGCTTTATTTCTGTCCATCATTGGCTGTTTTTAAAAAAAAGCCAATTCTGTTAATAAGCATATTTCCTTAGATTAAGCTTTATTGATTGATACAACACACTATATTAAATTTTGCACCCTCGAAATTGCTCAGCTATAGCAGTGAAGTGTTCTTCATATTGAGTTCTTTGCCCCAAGGCAGATCCAACCCACTGTGCCACATGACACAATTTTACTCGCACTCTCCCTTACAGAAGGCAAGTCTGTGGCCAGCTGACAGGCATATAGGAAGGGTGTCCTGCAGGCATTACATGCACTGGATGTTGGAAAATGGGAATGGGAATGGGAATGGGAATGGGAAGAAGTCCTACTCCCTGCAGTTGCCAGTCAGTGTGGGGATTTCCGGCAGTTCCTGTTGGCTGTGCCAGCAGCGCCAGAGCTTGGCTGTGGGCACTGCCAGTACTGCAACCAGTCCCGGGGGAAACTATCTTATGAGTGGGGGTGAGAGTGTTTACCCACTATGTACAAATGGCACTACCCAAAGATAGTTATTCCCTTTTTATTCTTGGCTTTTAGAAGACGCCCACTACCATGTCAACTTTACCAAGGCATTTAATACATCTTTTATAAAACTCAATTGACCCTTAATTATTTCTATACATTGGGTGAATTGTATTATGGTGGTCAGTACAGGGTGAATAGGAAGGCAATGAACTGGGCATCCATTGCACTTAATGTGTCCCCACCGCCCGAAAACAAATCAAACTTGTAAATTCAAGCTTACAATAGCCCCACATGTAGGCACAGGCAACCCATCCTAAATCCAGCCCAGCCAGATCAAACCTCATGCTCTTGGTACCAATCTGATCCACAGTGACCATCCAACCAAATGACCCAGCCACTCCCCCAACCAAGGAGTCAAAGTTGCCATGGCAACATACAGCAAGTAGTAGCCTGGAGCTATGGATAGTGATGGTAGTGGCCCCAGTTTCTTTCCATTACATGCTGATCAAGCATTCCTCCTACACTTACCAGTGGCATATCTTGGCAGGATTTACAAGCCGATATTCAACCTGTTTGACTGCACCTACGAACACACCTTCCATGACCATCAGGTCCTGGAGTGGGACGTGAGTCCAGGGCCTCTGGTGCTATGTCAGTGATGCTATCTACTGCACCACCAAGACATCTTTCAGTATAGAGTTTTAAAAGTTTAAATATCCCCAGTCAATTCTTTTTGTATAATTTAAGACTAATTATCCAAATGTTAAGTTGACTTAATTTAGACACTCAAATCTTACTATAGGTTGTTGCTGTAAAACTGTTCGCTCCAGATCACCCTGCTCCCAGAATTCATTAGCAACCATAAGTGCAACCTGAAATGAAAACATTTTATAAAGGATAAGTGGAGAAAAATATTGAATTGCCAACTTGAAGATATAGCACATGGAGTAATCTTACATGGCTTTAATCAAGTATCACATAGCAAACAAAGGGCAGGTTGTGTCAAAATACTGTACAGACGTGCCTGATATGCAAATTCAAGACCTTTTAAAATTTGCATTAAAGTATTTGACTACTTTTCTAAGAAGAACCGAAAGCATGTTATTTTTTATAAACCTAAAGATGCTCAATTTCAGTAAAAGTAGACTTTGACAAAACATGGGTTCATTTGTTTCTAAACATTTAGAAATAACAAAATGCATCATCTCAGTATTTGTAAACCATGCCACAATAAAATTAGACAGCTCTTCATACACATAACTTTGTCTAAATTATAAAAAGATTTGTGAAATCTCTAACATTCTATGAAATTCTGGTTTATGAAGATTAAGTTTTCATTGAATAAGTTCAAGATAATTATTGTTTTGAATTTTGTTCTATCATGAATTTCCCCTAAAGGCACTGACATCCATCTAATCAAAGACAGACGTTGAACCCTGTTAAAACACTTGAGAGAAGAGTAAATCTTTAAAATAACTGCGAAACCTCAAAACAAAATAAATGTAAATACCTTTCCAAGAACTTTTCTTAAATGCTGAAATTCCCAATGCAAATCATTTGATCATTTAAGCAACTTTAGTAATAACTTAAAATGTAATACTTTGTTCCCATTGTCTTTTCAAACTTATGCGATTGTTTTGGAGAAATGTGTAATGTCACCCGAATAGACGTTAAAATCGGCATTTTTGCTTACCTTGCTTTGTACTTCCCATGGCTTAGTAATGGCTGACAAGTCACATCCTGTCATCATCATTGCCCTGCAACAGTTTGAAAAGGTATTAGGATGATAAAAAAAAAGTCATTATCTTTTTAAAATATTCTGAACAATAATAAAAATATATTAGGAGTAAAATACATACATAACAATTTCTTTCTTGGTTGGGTCAGAAGAAATATACTTTATGGCTTCTTCTTCATTCTCTATTTTTTCAACATGGTCTACAATTTTTTGAAACATTGTCCTTTTCCTATAAGTATTTCAAAAAATATGTTGTTAAGATAATCTGTTTTTCAATTCAACTCCATTTAATGTGTCTTTGCTGAGGATGACATAGTGTGCAGTATAGACTTCTTTAAATCATAGAGTCACTAGGTTGGAGAAGAAAACTATAGTTCCCACCAGGTACCAGCCAGCTCTCTGTAGAGCAATCTAGTCAATCCCACTCACCTACTTGATTATTTTAGTTCTGCAAACTTACTTCCCTCAAATCCCCCATTCAGTTCTCTGTTGAAATCAGTGATCATTTCCGATTTCACCACACTCATTGCCAGAGAGTTGCAGGTTATTACCATTTGCTCAATAAAAAAGTCCATCTACAAAACTTTCCCTCTGTCCCCATCTTGTTCTCCTTTGCCAAAAGTTGAAATCTGTATCTGTTGTTTCTTGTCCCATCAGCTAAAAGGAACAGCTTCCCTTTGTCTGCCTTATCTAAATCTGTCATAAGCTTGTACATTCTACCAAATCTCCCCTCAACCTCCTGTGCTGTGTCCTACACAATAGCTAATGACTGTGTTAATTACTGTCACTCCTGTTATTGAGCAGACCTGCTGGCCACTCACTGTGATCCAAGATGAACTTCATCCCCCGTACTATCAGTCTTTCTGCTTTTTTCAATGTTACAGTAGCCCAGCATTCCTATGGAATGTAGGGACAGGAGTATGTCATTTAGTGCATTAAGCCTGTCCTGGGATTCAGTGAAATCATGGCTGGTCTACAATCTAATGACATATACCAACCTTTCTCCCTTATTCCTTAATACCTTTATTTAACAAAAATCTACCAATTTCACTTTTGAATTCCACAACTGATTTAGTATGAACGGCTGTTTGAGGAAGACTTCTACCATCTTTTGTATGTTTAAGTGTTTCCTAATTTCACTTTGGAAATGACTGGTTCTAAATTTTTTTAAAGAGTTTGTGCCACCCCAACCCCCCTCATTCATTCTAGTCCGAGGTTTCCCAACCAAAGGAAATAGTTTCTCTCTGTACATCCTATTTGTTCCCCTTAATATCTCAAACATTGATGAACACCTTTATATTCCAAATTATAAACTCTAGTTTGTGAAATCTTTTATAACTATTCAGTCTTTAGAATGCAGGTATCATTCCAGTAGCCCCGCTGTCCACTCCATCCAAGGCTAATCCATCCTTCCCACAGTGTAGTGCAGAACTGCTTACAATACTTAAAATGTGGTCCAACTCATGTGTTATAATCTTGTCTTCAACCTGCTTCTATTCTAGTCCCCTAAACCTAAGAGTCAGTGTTCAATACCATTTAATATTGTTTATACTTCTGTGAAATCCATCTTCATAAAACTTTCTAAATTTGTGCTGCTCATAGCTCATCTGTTGTACACAGATCCGTCTTGTTCCTCCTTTGTGACTCCATTCTCATGCTACACCAGAGTTTGTGGACTATGCTTTAAATTCATCATCTTATCAATCCTGAAAAAGACTCAGTTCCACTTCAGTTAATTTGCCCACTTTTGTGCTACCTCAGCCTCTCCATCACTAACTTGAGTATAGGCCGTAAGCATTTCCAAACTGTTCCAGATCTTGGGAAGAGTTCGTTATTTAGCTGTCAAGCCGATGCTCAGAATGTTTTAGTGTCCTCAGGATCATTCATGAGAATTTTTTTTAAATGTCGTAAAAATACAATATTCTACAATGTCCCATCACCTGAAAATGTTGCATTTGCACCACCTAATCTAATTATTAGTGTATAGCAAGAAAAGGTAACAGAAATGAACACTTACTTGAAATACAAGGCCAAGTCGGTTGCAATTATTGCAACTTCCATTAAATGGATGACTGTTTCATATTGACGTTGATTCAAGTTCTGAAAAATGTTTATGCTCTGCCATTGTAAATAGAATGGGAAACAGGAATATTCAGATGTGAATTCACTAAATATTTAAAATATATATACAAAACTGCACTTGTCTTAAAATGTCTTCTAAATTATTCAGTAATGTTTGGCATACTGACCTCATCCTGAAGTAATGTTTTACTGTATTCAAGGTGATGTCTTTCCAAAATAGAAGACCCATGTAATCTTGCTAGAGGTGCTTGTGATCTGTGGAGGAGCTTTATTTTAATGTGTGGTTTAGAATTTAAAATATGCTTTCCAGCTGCTAATTTTGTTCATCAGTAAATGAATAGAGTATCCATGGCAAAGATCATGATCAAGTGTTTTGGAGAG